TCTCTCTCTCTCTCTCTCTCTCTCTCTCTCTCTCTCTCTCTCTCTCTCTCTCTCTCTCTCTCTCTCTCTCTTTGGTGCGCACGATTGTTTGCTCTCTTGCCGTTCGTCGTCTTCGTCGTCTTCTTTCGGTCTTTCCCTCATCCTTTTCTGGCTCCTGTTCTCGTCTAGTGCTCTTTTTTCCTTCCTGGGGTTTGTCCTCTTCTACTGTGCTCTCCCTCCCCTCTTCTATTATGTGAGGGAATGCTCCCTCCTGCTTAAACTAGGTATGTATTTCGAGTATTTGGTCCTGGCCGCACCACTCGCCAAATGCCAGCATTTTGATTATATTGGGGACTAATCCAATGTTCAGACTCGCTCAGGGAATACTTACCACGAGGACTTTGCGGAATGTTTCTGACCGCTTTTACTGCAACAACTGGATGCACCTGACTGCCATTATGTCCAGGGGAGGAGTTGAAAAAATCCTAGTGTCAGTATGTCCCCTCACAATGTTGGCTTTTGGGGAGTGGTGCAGTGAGGCCCTCTTGACCGGAATTACATCCAGAGTTGTCCAGTCCGACCGTGGTCCGCCGACACAGCACACCCTGATTAAGATGATGACTGTACCGAACTGGAAAGATAGCTTGTATACATTCATTGTCAGCGTGTTATGTCTGCTGATTATGATTACGACTGTACCGAACTGGAAAGATAGCTTGTATACATTTCATTTTCAGGTCGTGTTATGTCTGCGTGAAGACGGTAGTGTGAGTATTCTTGACTGTAGGAAGAAGCTGTTTCCATTTTCAGTCCTCCCTGTGTCCACCAGCAGGTGCAAAAATTGGAAAAAGGGAGTGAGCGGCTGCTGTCGTCTTCGCCCCAACATAACAATTCATATATATATATAAGCTGAACTCCAAACTTTCCAGTCCAATATAGGCAAAATGGGGGTGTGGCGTTCATACGCACCCTGATAATGAATGTGTACAAGCTACTTGAAGAAGTAATACAAGTCAAAATGAGAAATGAGGGTGCGTCGTGTTAGGGGGAAGACTATAGGTAAGACACTCACTCACGGGTGAAGATTGGAATCCAATATCTACAATGACGTGAACGAATGTGTACCAGACTGCGAAGTTTGGTGGTTTCTACAGACTGGGAAAGATGCATGGCTGTTGACCCTAGGAGGAAAAATAACTAGTCTGAATTTTTGCGTGGCATCCTTAGGGCCTAGTTGCGTTCTACTTGCCATCGGCCAAGATTTTGAATGCATGTGGACTCAAATCTGGATCACATGAGGAAAATTTTTGTTTTCTGTTCTGAGCTTGCATCTGCAGTTTGTCCACCTGTCATGCTCCAATGCTGTACACACACACAGACACACACACACACACACACACACACACACACACACACACACACACACACACACACACACACACACA